GCTTGCAGGACTGGCCTAGGGTAATTTTTAGGGGGGTTTTAATTATATTTTAAAATTTGACAAATATTTAAATATTCCTTTTAATTAATTTTAAATTTGTATTGTTTTGTATGTATTTTAAATAGATTGTCAGCCGCCCTGAGTCCTACGGGAGAAGGGCGGGATATAAATCCAAAAAATAAAATAAATAAATAAATAATAAATAAAATAATAATAGTATCAATACATATTTTTACAGCAGATTCATTGTTTTCTAGGATGACACCCACCTGCATGAATATGTGACACTCAGTTACAAATGACCCTGTAGTAATCTGCTTAAATTTTTCACAGATTTCAGGAAAATTTGTAGCTTCCAAAATGAAATCTTGATGTTGCTTAATTAATGTTAAGGCCACACGAAAGATTATTTTTGATCCTTCATAAAACAAACAGTCCCAAATTCGGAGCACAGTCTGTTGAAGAATGAAATTAGTTACTGAGTGTATGAAATACATGCACTAGAATTTGGATAATTATATAAAAAGCAATAAGTTGTCATTCTCACTTGCCTCTACTGGAAGAATGTCAATGAACAAACATATAAACCAACGGGATGCCACCAAAGTCCACAAGTTGCCATGTTTTTCCATTAATTCTGCCACAGCTGGAATCTTCATTTTCACAAGATGTCCAAGAACCTCTTGATCTGTTTTCAGACCCATCATTTCAGGACTATAATAATCTTCAGAAAGATATGAAAACTAAGTCATCAGAATGCAATTTATTGTTTTAAATATATATATATATTCTGTAAGAGATATCTAACGGTAAGAAGTATCTTCTTTCAAAGCTAATTTGCATCTTGTCTAGTCCATGAGTCCTGTGAAATTATGAAATTCTAGAGCAGCCAAGAAAACAAAGACTGGGCTGTATTACAAGTTTTGACCAAGCACAGTTTGCAGGAAAAATACATTCCAGTTTTCTCTCTTCATGAACATGGACAGAGAAGATGGGCTAGCAAGAATACATGGTGCTGGAAATTTTTGTTTTTTATTAGCACTAGCTGGATCTCAACCAGAATAAAATGAATTTCCAGTCCTACAAATTATGAAAAGTTATAGATGTTGAGTTTCCATAAAACTACAGACAAATTTACATCTTAAGGAAAGTATGTTCTATATTGAAGTATAACACTGGCATGGTACATCTAGCTTCAAGGAGCAAACACAAAGAAATTATTCCATCATAAGTCATTTTTCTCCATTCATACTGTATGAGAAAGTAAAATGGTCACACCAATTTTTAATAAAGACACCAGATGGCGCTCCATAACTTGGCATAGATTGCCATGCAGTAAATTCCAGGTTTCTAATCAATCCAGGATATGTTGAAAAAGAACAGCAGTTGGTGCTTTCAGTCTCCAAAAGCAGAGCAAAAACGACAGGCCAAAGTTCTTTGCATGAATAATGGGGCATTATTTCAAGCCACTAGAAATGCTACAAGATCAAGGTTAGGCATGCCACTACTTTGCTTTCCTGATTGTACAAAAAGCCAACTCCAGAGAAGAAAGATTTTCTTTAAAACATAGCTCATCTTCTAACCGACTCTCCCAGTCAAAAGTTAAAACCACATATAAGATCATGTTAAAATTATAAAACTAAACACATTAAAACATTAAAAACAACAAAAAAAATCTGGTGCCAAGTCAAGCTTCTAATGTGCAGTCATCCAAATACGATCCCAGAACTTGAGGAAAATGCCAGAGTTACAAAGCTTTATGACTGACTCTGGAGGGTAGAGGCCTGTTCCAAGGGGCAGGGGCTGCCACAGAAAAGGCACACTTCGTAGTTCCTATCAGATAACAATATTCAGGCAAGGTACTAGGAGTTGACCTGTTAGGATGGGTAGATGGCTTTAAGTCCCGCAGATAATCTGGCTCTGTGCCATATAGAGCTTTAAAGGTGATGACTAGCACCTTGAATTGCACCCAGAAAGAAACTGGAAGTCAGTGTAGCTTAGTACAACAGAGATGGGCAAACCTAGGAGGCCCCATTACTCTGTGTGTTGCTGCAGCCTGGATGGTCTTCAAAATTGAAAATGATAAAAAGAAAATATAAGATTTCATTCTACAATAATGTATGGCATTCCACTACATCACATGCCTTATTTTACACGTGGAACATTACCTGTGGGAAATATAAAAATCTAGTGGAATACAGTGATGAAGCAATTCTGAATGCTTCAGTAACAAAACCTTCAAATACATAATTCTGGGTTGCATTTGTTTTGCCATTTTCAAGTGTTCTGCTGCAANGAAAGAAACATAAACATGCAGAAAAGTAGAAACATAAATTGTTTCTTAATTTGCTGTAAGGTGTAACTCCTGGTGTTTTTGATTCTATCAAAGTTCACTATTCAGAATGTAAGCGTGTGTGTGCATATAAATAAAATAATCTCATTTAGCAGAGCCAGACAACAGAAAAAGGTAGATATGCTGTTCTTTAAAAAAAAAAGTGAGATTAAGTAGAGCACTAGTTTTCTAAACAAGGATCTCTACTTAAAGTCCAGAGCCTTAACATGGTTACAGTTCAAAAAATGATAGCTTCAAATATACTTTATTATATAGTTTTGTATTCTGTTATTACAAAAATGTCTGAAAATATATAGTCCATTTGTTGAAAAGGGATTACATCTGCATTACATTTTATTTACATAATAATTAAAGTGTTTGTGCTTTTTTTAAATAAAAAAATCCCACTGAACACATGAAAGGCTGGCGCTAATTAGTGAAGTGTCAATGGCAGCCTGAGAAAATTGTATCTGAGCAAGTGAAGTAATGTTCATTTAGACTGAAGTAATCAGATTTGCTCTACACGTATCTCGTAGTTTGTTTATTGTAGCCATTCGCAGACTTCCAGGTTCCGTAAATATTTTCTAGAATTGAAAATTAAAATATTAGCATATACGTGAAAATTAAAATATTAGCATATACGACGATGCAAAGAAATATCTGTATGTGCTTCGTGGTACAAAATCACACTAATCAGAAAATACCATGAGTCAAATCCCTCTTCCTAGAATAGGATGCATCACATTATTAAATCAACAACTTACAAGATTCCATCCAGATTGTTACACGTGTGTATTAAGAAATACTTAAAATTCACTTGCAGTACATTAGAACATGAAAACTAGTGAACATTAGGGTCTTGTACCAATTTGGTCAGATAGCTATGGAAGAAAATTAGCCCTATATCTTAAGTTTCCATGTTTAGACACAGCCTATTTCTAAATGCCAGCTAAATTTATGCTGCAATTGTAACTTTCTCAAGGTAATTAGGCTGGCCAAAAATTAGATGGGTCTTAGAACCGGTCCCATCAAAATTTTAGAGAATTTATATCTGACCCTAGAGATTTTTAATTGACTCAAAATAAGAAGGAATTGTGCTTAGGAATAATTGGAATACTGTGTTACATTTAAAAATATTGTGTTTCCCAAAAAAATAAATCCTATAAAGAAAACAAGTAAAGCACCAATCTTATGCATGAAAACTCCTAGCTTTCAGAGTGAAGATGGATAAAGAAGACATTGTAAATATCTATAAAATCATATATGGTTAATATGGCACATAGGAAGATAATTTTTTCTCAGAATGAATACATTGGGGGCATCCACTAAAACTAAATACATGGAGGAGATTCAAGATTTAAAGATGTTCATTTACACAGCATGTTGTTCAACTGTTAAATTTGCTGCCATTAGTTGCAATGGCCATCAAAAATCATTGTAGGAGGAAAATTAGACAAATTTACATAAATCAGTCTATTAGTAATTACTGAGCTGGCTGGTTGCATCGTGACTCAAGAGACAGCATATTTTAAATATCAGCTGCTGGACAGTAAGAAGACGGTTCCTCGCTTGTTCTTGTTTGGAGATTTAATTTGCCACAATGAGATAGAATGGGGGACTCAAAGGGTCTCTGAGACACTCCAAGGTTCTACAGGGTTCTTATAGAAAAGGACAGTATCTCTCAACTTTCCAGAGATTTAGTGCTATTCAGTATTTATGAAGCATGGGGCTGCCCCTGATCTGTGAAACAAATTATATGGCTATTGACACTATATGAAGCTAATTGAAACTAACTTGACATCCCTGCAGGCAAATCATGAATATAAACGAATGGTAGACTTTCCTGAAGCAAAGTGACTTTTTGAAAGTAAGGGCCTTGTAGGGTTAAATGTATTCCAGAAGTTTGATTGAAAGCATACCCATAAAAGTAAAATGGCATCTACATTTCCATTATCTATTATCTGTATATCCCTTAGCTATTTTGGTTATGTAGAGGTGAGAAAACCTGGTTGACTCTACAATGCGGTGGATTATTTCCAACATGATCTGTGCCCATTAGCAAGAGTTTGATCCTGATTGGCTCAAGGTTGACTCGCCTTCCATCCTTCCAAGGTCAGTAGAATGAGGATCCCAGATTGTTGGGGGCAATATGCTGACTGTAAACCACTTAGAGCAGGTATGTCAAGCTTGCGATGTCATGTGACGTCACGTGACATATTGGGACTTTTCCCTCATTGCTGGCAATGGGGTGGGCACGGTTTCGGCGTGACGCATCCAGCCCGCGGTTCAGCAGTTTGATATGCCTGGCTTAGAGAGTGTCCTAAAGCGCTATGAAGTGGTATATATGTCTTATGTGCTATTGCTAATATTTTTCAGGGCAAGGTGATAGTTGAACTCCTGTTGGATGGAGCCCGTTTTGTTTTATATATTTGTGTCAGCAGCTCATGATCTCTTTTTTGTTTTTGTTTTCTTTTTAATTGTGAGCCTCCCAGAGTTGTTGGGCATTGTGCAGCCTACACACCGTATAATTAAATACAACATATTTTAAAAATATTGAATTATATTTCATAAAGCCCGCTTAAACAATCTTATGAGCAATAGTATCAATACATATTTTTATAGCGGATTCATTGTTTTCTAGGATGACACCCACCTGCATGAATATGTGACATTCAGTTACAAATGACCCTGTAGTAATCTGCTTAAATTTTTCACAGATTTCAGGAAAATTTGTAGCTTCCAAAATGAAATCTTGATGTTGCTTAATTAATGTTAAGGCCACACGAAAGATTATTTTTGATCCTTCATAAAACAAACAGTCCCAAATTCGGAGCACAGTCTGTTGAAGAATGAAATTAGTTACTGAGTGTATGAAATACATGCACTAGAATTTGGATAATTATATAAAAGGCAATAAGTTGTTGTCATTCTCACTTGCCTCTACTGGAAGAATGTCAATGAACAAACATATAAACCAACGGGATGCCACCAAAGTCCACAAGTTGCCATGTTTTTCCATTAATTCTGCCACAGCTGGAATCTTCATTTTCACAAGGTGTCCAAGAACCTCTTGATCTGTTTTCAGACCCATCATTTCGGGACTATAATAATCTTCAGAAAGATATGAAAACTAAGTCATCAGAATGCAATTTATTGTTTTAAATATATATATATTCTGTAAGAGATATCGAACAGTAAGAAGTATCTTCGTTCAAAGCTAATTTGCATCTTGTCTAGTCCATGAGTCCTGTGAAATTATGAAATTCTAGAGCAGCCAAGAAAACAAAGACTGGGCTGTATTACAAGTTTTGACCAAGCACAGTTTGCAGGAAAAATACATTCCAGTTTTCTCTCTTCATGAACATGGACAGAGAAGATGGGCTAGCAAGAATACATGGTGCTGGAAATTTTTGTTTTTTATTAGCACTAGCTGGATCTCAACCAGAATAAAATGAATTTCCAGTCCTACAAATTATGAAAAGTTATAGATGTTGAGTTTCCATAAAACTACAGACAAATTTACATCTTAAGGAAAGTATGTTCTATATTGAAGTATAACACTGGCATGGTACATCTAGCTTCAAGGAGCATACACAAAGAAATTATTCCATCATAAGTCATTTTTCTCCATTCATACTGTATGAGAAAGTAAAATGGTCACACCAATTTTTAATAAAGACACCAGATGGCGCTCCATAACTTGGCATAGATTGCCATGCAGTAAATTCCAGGTTTCTAATCAATCCAGGATATGTTGAAAAAGAATAGCAGTTGGTGCTTTCAGTCTCCAAAAGCAGAGCAAAAACGACAGGCCAAAGTTCTTTGCATGAATAATGGGGCATTATTTCAAGCCACTAGAAATGCTACAAGATCAAGGTTAGGCATGCCACTACTTTGCTTTCCTGATTGTACAAAAAGCCAACTCCAGAGAAGAAAGATTTTCTTTCTTTAAAACATAGCCCATCTTCTAACCGACTCTCCCAATCAAAAGTTAAAACCACATATAAAATCATGTTAAAATTATAAAACTAAACACATTAAAACATTAAAACATTAAAAAAAAAATCTGGTGCCAAGTCAAGCTTCTAATGTGCAGTCATCCAAATACGATCCCAGAACTTGAGGAAAATGCCAGAGTTACAAAGCTTTATGACTGACTCTGGAGGGTAGAGGCCTGTTCCAAGGGGCAGGGGCTGCCACAGAAAAGGCACACTTCGTAGTTCCTATCAGATAACAATATTCAGGCAAGGTACTAGGAGTTGACCTGTTAGGATGGGTAGATGGCTTTAAGTCCCGCAGATAATCTGGCTCTGTGCCATATAGAGCTTTAAAGGTGATGACTAGCACCTTGAATTGCACCCAGAAAGAAACTGGAAGTCAGTGTAGCTTAGTACAACAGAGATGGGCAAACCTAGGAGGCCCCATTACTCTGTGTGGTGCTGCAGCCTGGATGGTCTTCAAAATTGAAAATGATAAAAAGAAAACGTAAGATTTCATTCTACAATAATGTATGGCATTCCACTACATCACATGCCTTATTTTACACGTGGAACATTACCTGTGGGAAATATAAAAATCTAGTGGAATACAGTGATGAAGCAATTCTGAATGCTTCAGTAACAAAACCTTCAAATACATAATTCTGGGTTGCATTTGTTTTGCCATTTTCAAGTGTTCTGCTGCAACAAACATTCCATTTCAATATTTTACTGCAGCCACAAATTAGTATAAATAGCCCAGAACCACTGAGAATTATAACTAATAAAAGATTACCATTAAAAGCCATAGACTATGAAATACATAAAGCCTACATATTAGCTTTATATTCCACCTTTTGTTCAGGAGCTCAAGTAGCCTACCCAGAGCTCAGTTTTCCTATTTATTCCCATGACAGCCACACAAAGCTCAGTTGGGTTAACAGAGCAAATTTGTTCCAAAGTTGCTTTCATGGCAGAAGAATATCTAGAGCCAAGGTTTACTGCTCCTAAACCAGCGCCAGGACCACTATACAACATTAGCTCTCAATGCTTTCTCTTACTTTTAAATAGGATGCAGGAAGTGATATCATCCATACATGCTGCTGATTATTACATTTCACCCAGGTACTACTCCAATTGCAATGTATAACATACATAAAAAAACCAACTATCTAAAATAATGTATTCTAACGGTAACAGAAGCCTCAAGAAGCACTACATCACTAAATCACTGAAAGCTAATTTAAGCCCATATTCACAATCCAAGAAAGAGAAAGGGCTTTATTCTGATACTGAAAAGTCAACATGGGTGCCAGGAAAAAGAGTTCCAGAGCTGAGGAGCCCAACTTCTCAACACTCCCCTTATATCCAAGTATCCATACTGATGGATCAGCTCAATATGAATATGCAGATTGTATTAAAATGGCATATGCAGCACTATTTTTCCTGCAGTTCTATGCTGCAAAAATATTAGTATAAATGAAGCACAAACCAGAACTTGGTTACATTATCATAATGCTGTTATGAAATTCAGTTTTCTACTTATAAAATAGGTAAAGATAGATAATGAAAACAACTAGGAAAGTTTTTGCAACTAGTAAGGCTTTTATAATCTGCTGAAGCAGCCTATATTTTCAAGTTTGTTTTATTAACATTATTGGTTATTATAGATCAAAGCCTAAAGCACCCACACTAGCTTATTATTTTCTATCTCTTTTGCATGAATAAACTCAAATTTTAAAACAGCTGAAAATTCTCACATGAGGCAGGCCTTGGATCACCTTAGCTGAATAACCTGGAAAGATTATTTACATGTAAAACACACATATATTTAAAACACTAATGATTATCCAGTCCTTGTATTTATACAAATAAATCCTTCAGCATTTCACAATCTGATGAACTGTGGCAGGACCCACATTTTGAAAGATGGGTCTTCAATTGCTATAGATGGTTCATCCACAAATAAAGAATTTAGTGAATTCAGTACTAAAAAGTCAATGAACTGCACCCTTCTTCTATTTCTAGCCATTCTTCTCTATCTATGGAACAAAACAAGATTACATAGGATGTATCCTTTTCATTCCTTATTTCCAAATCTCCAGTCCTTCATTTCTTTATTTCCAAATGCAAAGTTGCTACTTTGCAATATTAAGAAAATAATATCAGGATTTTAACAAAGCAAAATAACCTGCTGCTTTGTTTCCATCTGGTAAATGGAAGAAGGGCTGTCATAAGCAATTGTGTTGTAGTACAATTTTAAATCCATTCTGGAGTTGCAGGGGGATGGGATGGGAAGGAAGTGGTATGAACATATTTGCATATATTGCATCCAGCAGTGGAAATATGTATGCAGAGACTGCAGTCTAACAGAATTGCAATACATCTCCTTGGAACATCTACTCTGCAGAAACAGAAGTTTTTAATGTTCTACAGTACAATACAACAAACTGAAGGGAAGAAAAGCATAAATAATACTTTTCAACTTCAGTACAAACAGAAGACTGTGGTTGTAAAAAATATGGAATAATCTGAGATATTTAACTGAGACACAAGGAAACAGTTGATTAAATTACATGCCACTTTGCAGACTAATACAATTACTTCGATTTTAAGACTATAGAGTTTCCCAAATGTTTTCATTTCACAGTGTCCTTACTGTATTAGTAATTTTTTTTTCATAGCATCCCTAACTTCTAGTTACATAAGGTCCTATAGGTATAAAATATCACTGTGTTATTTCACACTGCCTCTGAGTGTTGGCTGTGTAGCCCTAAAGTACTCAGCACGACCACCAGTGATAATTGTTCCTTTTACAAGGAAGAAATATTCAGGTCTCCAATAATTTTTGGTTTTCTTTTCCCCCCAATCTTTTTCAGCTCTGTCAAATTGTATTCTTCTTAAGATGCAGTGACCAGAACTATGCACAATACTCTAAGTGTGATATCACCATAATTTGCAAATCTACTACATATTTAGGATAATAATGATAGTAACAACACTTGAACATCACTGTGATTGACAAAATCATCAGTCAATTGCAAAATTCAGTTGCAATTGAACAGTTTATGTCCTGCAACAATTCCTTTTATACTATCAAACAACATCTGCCTATCCCATAACAACAACAGTTTCAAGGTTGATATTTTCACCAAGCAGTCAACTGTGATTTCAAGTCCCCTTCATTAGCATTTATTACCAGCTCATATCCCATTAATGTATTACAAGTGGATATTTTGTATGTGTACCAACATGTATTGCTTTACTTATTTACCCTGACTGCATTTGCCATTTAGAAGGCCATCTAAGTTTGGAGAGATCTTTTTGGAGCTCTGCACAATTGTTTTTTGATTTCACTATCTGGAAGTTTGGTATTGTTAGCAAACACAGACACCTAACAGTCCAAAATGAATCCCACATCATCTAAAAATTGCAAATCACCACTTTCTATATTATGCACTTTTCCCCACTACGAGAACCGAACTTTTATTCCAACCATTTCCTATTTTTAACAGATGCCAATCTGGGTAAGTACTTATTCCATGCAGCTCAGTTTCCTTAGAAGTCTTTATGAAGAATTTTGATAATGGCTTTTTTAAACCCACATGAACATTATTAATTGGATAATCCTTATCTCCCTGAATTTCTATACCCTTATAAATGTTTGAAAGTTTAGTGAGACAAGACTCCTTGCAGAAGCCATGCTTTTTAGCAAATCTCATTATTCTGCATATTCACTTGTTTCCTCTTTAATATTCCTTTCAGTTATTTTCCTTGAAACAGATGTTAATCTCTAATGGGATTATTTCCTTTACTGATCCTCAAAGACATTATATGAATTGGGTCACAATGGCTATTTTTAAGCCCTGAGAATGGAGATTAATGTTAAATAAAAGTTTTATATTTTTTTTAAAAGACCAGCGATTTCATAATTAGGGTTTGAAGAATTTCTGATTGGATATTACCTGGATATGCATACTTATTTTTAATTCATCCATTTAGTTTATGACTTATGACTTTATAACAATTTCTCAATTGTTCTCATCTGTCTCAATTCATCTGACATACATTCTGAAAAGTCAGCTTTGGCTCAGAAATCTGTTTTATGTCCTAAAAGTGAAGATAAAGGAAATA